TAATGTGCTTATTGGATCTACAGGCCGACCCCGCATGGTAACACGGGCATTAACAAAGGGAAATACACTTCTTGGTCCTGTAGAGGGACCAGTGGGTGGAGTTCTCCGCTGTATCTGCACAGCCTATCTTGTATCTAAACAAGAAACTCTACTGGAGTGCCATAGATGCCGTAATTGGTGTCACCCTGCCTGTGTGGGTGTAGACCACGCGGAACTGCGGCGATATCAAGTGGAGAATACATATGTTTGTCCATTCTGCACAGGAATGTATAAACGAAAGAGAGGTGAGGCTCAAACACAGGCACCAGCACCACGTCAATTACCACAACGATTACGTGAAATACCAGATCGATTACCCATTGGTATTGTAACACCATTACGACATGTAGTGAAAATTACAAAACGGGCTGCACATCAAGCCGGATTTGAGGTCATTGATCTCCCAGAGAATGAACTCACACCTACAATAGAGAAGGAATGTTTAGAATGCTGTGAAGATGCGATTCAGTCAGCTACCTTTTCTGAACAATATCCAGCGTATTGTTTAAAAGAAGTACGATTAAAAGCTCACCCTTATGTACAAGGAACTTTATTACGTTGTCTAAAGACAGGTTGTATTGTTTCCATGGTATTATCAAATGGTATGGATGTGTATGGAAACTTACGACCTACCATTACACAATTGAAGAGTGGTATTAATCGAGGTCTTATTGATCAAAAACATCAAACCTCTTTTATGGCTGCTTGTACGAAATTAACCGATGTGTCTGAGTTTGTTCACATTACATTAAGTGCCACTCACAGAGATTATCAACGGCGAGGTCTTGCCCGAATGTTAATGGTATTGGATTTGGCGAAATGGGCCTTACGAGGCCGTACACGGGCATATCTAAACATGGCATTGGAAAAACGAATTGTAGATGATGGCCAACGCCTGGAGTATATTGTTTCTCCGGCTTCCAGAGGATTATATGAGTCTTTTGGTTTTCGAGATGTTTATCCACGATTTGATCGAGAAACGGATGAGGCCCGATGGACACCAAAGGAAGCCGATATGGGTCGTGTGATGGCGCATTTGAGTTTTGTTCAGGATCTCTTGAAAGTGGCATCTCGATATGAAACTAGTACGGCGAAAACTCCTATATCTATTGCTCTTACTAATACTAATACTACTACTACTTCTACAAATAATACTACTACTACTAATAATACTACTACAAACGATACTAATAATAATAATAATAATAATAATAATAATAATGCTTCTCCTAATGGTAAAGTATTTAGTACTAGTGTTCAGAATGGTAAAGCTCGATCACCCTCACCTCCTGTACCGAGGAAACGTCTCTCGTTGCTTGGAAAGAAGCCTCAGGGTATAGAGAACTGATAATAAAAACTCATTCATGCAATCCTTTCCGTGTGTACTATTTCCCTTTTTTTCTTTTCACTTATTCGGTATGATGAAAAAAAAAGAAAAAAAAACTCGCATCGGTGTGTTTTCTTTTTGCTCTTTATACACACATGTGTTTGTATATGTATATATATATATACATATATATGTGTGTGTCTGTGGAATTCAGTTGTGGTGGTGGTGTTGCCATTCTTGTTGTTGCTGCTGTTTCTTTTTTGTTTTTCTTCTTCTTTTTGCTTGTAAAGATCCCTAAACTGATAAACGCAGACTGACCATTATTCCCAAACACGGTTGTTTCCACTTGCTTTTTTTTTTTATTTGTTGGTCTTGTTGTTATTATTATTGTTGTTGTTGTTAAGGTGGCGGTTCATTATTGTTTCTCTTTATACTGTAGTGGGAAGTGTTGGTGGTTGTAGGATGACTGGTGAATGTTGTACATGTGTGTATTTCCTATTTCAGGCACACGAGGGAAAGAGGGAAATTTAAAGACAAGGAGAAAAACCAAAGAGAGAAAAAAAAAGAAGCAAATGTGAGAAAGAAAAGAAAAAAAAAAAAGAATGATTCATCTAGTTAAACTTGTTACTATTTGTCTGTGAATTTGCTGTAAGCCAATTTCTTTTTTTTCTTATTATTATTCGTTTCTTCTTCCCATCTGACCTCTATGGTGATGAGGGAATGAGTTAATATATTGATTTGCCTTATTCTTCTACTTGATGGTGGTTTCCCCTGTTTATATATTGGTTCAAAACCCCAAGTATATATATATATATATATATAGGTTTATTATATTATATTTTCTTATATATATTTTTTCTTTTTATTATTTTTCCTTTTGGTGTGTTGCCGTTTGGAAACAGGAGTGCTTGTATCAATTTATCAAGAATCCACAGAAACAAGAAATTATCTTTTCCAAAAAACAATCATAATCATTAATCATAATAGAAAAAAAAAAGAAAGAAATAAAGAAAGAAAGATGCATCGCTCTATATTATTATGGAAACCAAAGACACTTGCCCATATGTTCCGCAAGTTAAAACTGGCCGGCGCCCATCCCGATGTTCTTTGGGCCGTAGACGCACAAAAGGCTCAACACAACGGTGAAGAGATGATTCGTTTAGAGACAATGATGCATAGAAGAAGTGCAGCCGACAGTAGTGGAAACCGACAAGGCGGTGCAGCCGAAAGCTTTACATTCTGGTTAGCCGATAACACACAGAAGAGATCTTTTCCTCATAATAATAATAATAATAATAATAATAATAATAATAACTCTACGACCTTACGTTCTGTATCGTGTACGATTAATCCAATAGCCCCATCACGTCTGGTAAAACAACAACTCTCACAGTTATTCCGTGATGCTGGTGTTTATGAGGAATTTGAAATTGGAAATGAAGGAGTAGAGATGAATTTAGAATCCGTTTTACGGCATGCAGATGAACGACAAAGTGAACATTTACAACAATCTGGATCATTATATATTCGTGGTGATAAGGCAGTAGAGATGTTAAGACGATTTGGTATTCTTTTAGTTATTGAAGAAAATGGATTTACATATCTTGTTACTTTACCAGAAATTCATCATGGAATAATGAAGAAGGAAGAAGGAATAGATATTGGGTTAAATGCTCCTTCTTCTTCTTATTCTTATTCTTCTTATACACCTGCAAAAAGTCTTATTGGACCTAATGGAGAAATAGATCCAGATGTTCAGGAATATATGCGAGAACGTGGTCTTCGTGCCTTTGATCTTCGCATGGCCGGTTCTCATTCTTCCGTTGAACGATTTGTCTCTGCGTTTGAGCGATTGGAGCGAATGTATGATATTCATCGTGGACGAGCCATGCGATCTTGTGTGTGTATAATGATTTCCCTTAAATCTCCTGATTGTTTTGTGGCTGAAGATGGATGTATTGTTCTTTCTGTACATCGTCTACCTGCATGGGAGGAATTCTTGTTAAGTCTTCCACAGGAAGTTTGGCAACGATGTGTTCAACAACATTTAGATTGGCGAATAGGAAATGCCCCTAAACTTCACAATAGACAACGACAATTAATGAAGATTGCGGATATGTTTCATTTCTTTCGTATTCACTTAGATTCTGGTTTGGGTTCTCGTGTAGATTGGCAGGAACAATTTATACTTCGTCTACAGAAAGAGGAAATGCTTATACGTAATGCGGTACGTAAGTATAAACTTACCTCTGATCTCATGAAACGACGTGGGGAAATACATGTTTCCTTTACACTACGAAGTTCAATAGATTCTAGTAAAGAAATTGGATATCGCATTGGTGGTGATGGTCGTCTCTTCTTTAACTATAATATGATGAATACTGGACAAATGCTACGCGTATTAAAAGATAATCTTCAACGATTAGAAACATTTCAAAAACAACATGATGATGCCGTGGCTACATTAGAACATTTAAGTAGAAGTATTCCAGTAGACTTTAGTGTAGATACAGAATGGAAATTGCGAGAGGAAGGGAATTTAATTCATTGTCTTCAACGGTTTGTTCATACCATTAAAGCCAATCAATCCCAATTAACATTATTTTTATCGGTATTATTAAAGAATAGTAACTCCGCAAATATTCCAAAGAAACGAATGGTGTGGATTATATCTTCACGATTTGATACTATGCCAAGTGGAGTTGTGTTTATTCCTTGGGATGTGGACTTTGAGTCCATTAAGAAACATTTATTAACCAAGTCCTGAGATGGAAGGAAATAAGAACAATAATAATAAGATGTATGTAGATAAGGGGGAAAGAAAAAAAGAAAGAAAGAAAGGGATATACGTTGAGAGAATAAAGTTATTTTTTTTTCCTTCTTATCTGCAGTTATGGAGTTTACTGTCTCTCTCTCTGTTTCTGAATCCCATTTTTTTTTTCTAAATTTCTGTGGCTTTATTATTATTATTATTATTATTGTTATTGTTATTATTATTTCTTTAAGTCTTCACATTTATTTTATTTTATTTTATTTATTCGCTCTTTTTCTTCGTTGTTTGGTTGTGTTTGCTTGTATGCATATGTGATGGAAATTCCCCTTATTTTGTTGTTATTTTTTTTATTCTTTCCTTTCTTTCCTTCTTATGATTATAATTTTGTTTTTTAATCTCTTCCATACATTTTGAAAAGGCTGACAAAAAAGAAAAAAAAGAAAAACAAAAAAAAAAAATAATAATAAAATCTATACTAAGGGGAAACCACAACCCTACAAAACATATCTATACTTCTCTAATACATATACACATATATACATATATAAATATATATATATATACATATAAACAATGGGCGCCTATATTCTGGTTTCCAAACTCCTCATACTTTGCGTATTGCAGGGCATTGTGTTTTCCTTAATACTCATCGCCACTCCTCTGGATGTATTCCGTTCGTGGGGAATGGGATCTTGTTATGGTTTGTTTGGCCAGAAACAGTGTGGAGTATTTGGAGGAGCCGTTCTCAGTACTTCATGGGGATGTGCCCGACGGCAAACGTTAATGGATGTTGCTGCTGCCTTTGCTATTATAAGTATCTTATCTTCCTTTTCCGCTGCCATCATGAGTGTGATGTCTTATTTCCGCATGGTATTACTGCGATTGAGTTTATTTATTATTCATCTATTTATTTGCATTACACTGTTGATTACATGGGCGTGTATTGCCAGTGTCTATCATGAGGCGATGTGTTGGGCGGGAAGTGGATTGGGGGCCACACACCACTACGGTCCAGCGTTTGTGATGACTGTGTGTGCGTGGGTTGTGCAGGTCTTTACAGTGCTCTTGTCTGCAAATCTACATTTCTAAATACCACTTCTTTTTTTTTTTTGTTTGTTTGTTTGTTTGTTTGTTTGTTTTTTTTTTGTGTGTGCTTTTTGAATACGAGAAAAGAAGAAGAAATGTAAATATGTGCGCAATCAAAAAAAAAAAAAAAAACCCTTACATAAAAGAGAAAAAGAAAAGAAAGAAAAAACATTTTTTTTTTTTTTTATGGGCAGCCTGCGGAAAAAAAAAAAGAAAAAAAGAAAAATTGATTGGGCTTTGCATTATTATGTAAATAATGGTATACAGGGATCTAATTTACTTTTTATTCTTTTTTGGTCTATTTGTTTTTTCTAAATATATTTCTACAGTTGTCTTGGACGCCAAAAAAAAAAAAAATATTTCACTCCTCCCCCAAAATTCTTCTATTTTTTTCTCTTGAAAAAAAAAGAAAAGGTAAGTATATATATAAACCAGTAGTAAAAAAAAAAAAAAAGGAAAAACCCCCCAAAACCTTATTATATTTATATATAAATAAATATATATAAATATATATAAATATATATATATAATGGGAGGTTATTTTATTCTTTCACGGCTACTCATCTTTGCTTTTCTACAAGCCGCCGTATTTCTCTTAATTCTCTTCTCCACGCCTTTGGATGTTTTCCGTGCGTGGGGAATTGGCGGCTGTTACGGTTTCTTTGGCCTCAAACACTGCGGGGCATTTGGTGGAACTATCATCAGTACTTCATGGGGCTGCAGTCGACGGGAATCCACAATGGATGCGGCGGCGGCCTTTGCGATTATAAGTATTTTATCTTCCTGCACAGCGACGGTAATGGCGTTATTAATGTACTTCCGTACGTGTTTTCTACGATTGAGTTTATTTATTGTCAGTCTCCTTACGGGGATTACACTGTTGATTACATGGGCCTGTGTGGCGGATGTTTATCATAAACCAATGTGTGGAAGTGGAACGGGATTTGGGGCTCTTTACAATTACGGCCCCGCATTTGGATTGATTGTGTTTACTTGGATTTTGCAGGTGTTTGCGGTGATCTTGTGTGGAATCATAACTTTTTAAAGGAAAAGAAAAAGAAGAAATAAGTGGGAGGGTGAAATGTAAATAATATGCGGGCAATAAGAAGAAGAAGAAGAAGAAGAAAAGAAAAAGAAAAAGAAAACATTAGAAGAGTAAAAATAAAAAAAAGGAAAAAGAAAAGAAACATTTCGGCATTTAATGTTTCGGTATTTAATCAAAATATTTTTGTTTTCATACATTTACATATATAAGCTTGTGTAGGTGTATACATATTATTATCTACAACTCTCCGCAAAAAAGGAAACACCCGTTATTTATTTATTATTTTCTTTTTTATTTTCTTCGTTTTCATAAAGAGACATTTTGTTTTTGTTTTTGATTTTTTTTTTCTATGGTACGAGATTCCCGAAGACTCTATTGAGCTGTCATTCTTGTGATCAGTCATTGTTTATCATCGGAAAGTATATATATATTAACATGTATATTGGATGTAACTTTGTTGTTTTTTTTTTCTTACCTGACTTGTGATTATCATTATTATTAATATTATTATTATTATTATTTCCCGTTTTCTACTGTGGTGTCCTGTTCATTTGATCTCTTTTATTTCTTTTTTTTTTTCTTATTAGGATTAAACTCTTCCATATATTTAAAAAGACTGACAGAATAAAATAAAAAAAAAGGAAATACAGTAAAAACCAATAAGAAAGGAAAAAGCACAAACTATCTATATATATATATATATATATATATTTATATATATACAATGAGGTGTTGTGGTACATATACATTACTTCTCCTTCTTGCTATTTTTCAGACCATTGCATTTATCTTAATAGTGGTTGCCACTCCTCCTGATGTATTCCGCTCTTGGGATTCAAATGTCTGCTACAGTTTATTTGGAGAAAAGAAGAGCTGTGGTAGATATGGTGGATCTGTCAAGAGTTCTTCATGGGGATGTGAACGACGGGAGTCTACAATGAATGCTGCCGCTGCCTTTGCCATTATAAGTATTGCCTTTTCTTTGATTGCGACCATAATGGCCTTTCTTGCGTATTTCCGTCTTTGTTTTGTCCGCCTGGGTTTATTTATCATGACGCTTCTCACTGCCATTACATTGTTAATAAGTTGGGCTTGTATTGCGGATGTTTATCATAAGCCAATGTGTGGAAGTTCAGCCGGTTTGAAATCCACGTACAGCTACGGCCCAGCATTTGGGTTAATTGTGTTTACTTGGGTTTTGGAGGTGTTTCTGTTCATATTGGCTGTGATTGTAACCTTTTAATTCTTTTTCTTTTTTAATTCTTTTTTTCTTTTTTTTTTTCCAAGAAAGAAAAAAAATAAATAGAGGAATTTTTGGGGGGAGGAGTGAAATATATTTTTTTTTATGGGTGGCCAACACAACTGTAGAAATATATTTAGAAAAAAAAAACAAAGAAAGAATATTTTTTTTTTTTTTGTGTTTGTGTTGGACCACCATAATAATAATATTTTTAAATTAATTGGGTTTGCGTACAATGTGCTTCTATATTTATTTATTTCTTTTTCCTACTGTTTGCAATATACGTTTCTGTGAGGGAGGTATATGTATTATCTGCAACTCATAGCAAGGGGAAAAAGATCCTTCCTTTCTTCCTTTCTTTGTTTTTGTTTTTGTACTCATGTTAAAACCCTTTTTTTTCTTGTTTTTATTTTTATTTTTATTTTTTTTTCTTTGACACAAGATTCCCGAAAACCCTTATGGGCTCTTATTCTTGTGATCAGTCATTGTTTACCATTCGGCAAGTAGATTACATAGTGTATGAACCTTTATTATTTCTTACCTGAACTAGTATTGTTTATTATTATTATTATTATTATTATTATTATTATTATTATTATTATTTGCCGTTTTCTACTGTGGTATCCTGTTAATTTAATCTCTTTTGTTTCTTTTTTTCTTTTCTTATTATTAGGTTTGACTCTTCCATATATTTGAAAAGACTGACAGAATAAAAAAAAAAAAGGAAAATACAAATAAAAACCAATAAGAAAGAGAAAAGCATAACTTTGATATATATATATATATATATATATATATATACAATGGGAGATCGTTTTAAATTTACAAGACTTCTCCTGCTTGCTATTTTACAAGCCATTGGATTTATCTTAATAGTGGTTGCCACTCCTCTTGATCTCCTCCACACGTGGGGAACAGATGTCTGTTACGGTTTATTTGGAGAAAAGAAGAGTTGTGGGGTCTATGGAGTCAGCATCACAAATACTTCATGGGGATGCACAAGACGGAAAGTAACGATGATTATTGCCGCTTCCTTTGGCATTGCAAGTATTCTCTTTTCTTTGATTGCGACGATAATGGCTTTTCTGCAGTATTTCCGTGTTTTTCTACTGCGTTGGGGTCTTTTCATTATTACGCTTATGACTAACATTACACTGTTGGTGACTTGGGCTTGTGTGGCGGATGTCTTTCATAGGCGCATGTGTGGAGGATCCACTGGACTGGGGGCGGTTTATTTCTACGGCCCGGCCTTTGGTTTGATTGTGTTTACTTGGGCGTTGGAATTGATTATCTTTATATTGGCGGCGCTCATTACGTTTTAAAGAAAGAAAAAAAAAAAGAGGAATATGGGGGAGGAGGAGGAGGAGTGAAATGTAAATTATTGCAGGAAACGCCAACGGTGGAAATAATTTATATTTGGAAAAGAAAGTGTACTTTTCTTTCTGTGCGTGTGTGTGTGTGTGTGTGTGTTTGACTACCATAATAATAATATTGTTTTTAAATCGATTGGATTTTTTTTTGTGCGATGTGATTCTATGTTTATTTATTTATTTATTTATTTTTTTATCCTTTTCCTACTGTTTGCAATATACGTTTCTGTGTAGAGGTATATGTATTATCTCTGCAACTCTCCGCAAGGGGAAAAAGATCCTTTCTTTATTGTTTTTTTTTATGTTTTTGTTTTTGTTCTCATGTACAGACCGTTTTTTTTTTCTTTTATATATTGTTTGAAGTTTTTCTTTTTCTTTTTTCTTACCTGACTATAGTATTCTTTTTTCTTCTTTATTGTTTTCTGCTGAGGGGTAACTTGTTAATTTATTCTTTTTTGATCTCTCTCTCTCTCTTTGTTTTCTTTTCATTCCTTCTTTCTCATATGGAAAGCCGTACTTCTCTCTCTCTCTCTCTCTCTCTCTTAAGAGGGGAGAGAGAGAAAGGGGAAAGAGTAATAGTACAGAGTTTCCCCAATGGTAGCAGCACGGCGGTATTATTATTATCTTAACGAACGTGGTCATTTATTTCATATATTTGATGTAAAGGGATTTGTGCAGAGTAAACAGAAACCCGCTGGACCTGCTTACCTCCGTGATGGAGTATTTCTTGATTTCTTCTATCAACGTCTTCAACGGAATAGTCTAACACATATTACGGCATGTAATAATAATAATAATAATAATAATAAAATGTCTGGAGGTATTTCGGAATCCATAATAGTTGAGGATAACCTTGTAATGACAGTGGATCAGTTTTTACAGTTTTTTCCATATGTGAGTTTATGTGGAAAAGAAAAAAATTTTCTCAGTGTACAAGATGCCCCCGTAGTGTTTACAGATTATAATTTTAACTCAGAGTTAAAAGAAAAAAAAGAAAAAGAAAAAGATCTAGATAGTGTGGCTACTCTCTCCTTTGCTGGTTCTCTGCAGGAACCATTTCAACCATCTGCGTTAACCGTCACGCAAGCGGGAAAACTCTTTCATCCCATCACAACATTAAAATATTTACACCGCACAACTGCTGAGCAGCCGAGTGAAAGTGTAAAAGGTCTTGTCGGGGCGCAGGTGGGGCTGAAGTTGGGATTTGATTTTCTCTGTGAGGAACAGAACAGGGATGGACAATATATGATTGAGTGGAATGGGCAGAAATACGTTATTCCATATAGTAGTGACCAGTAAAAAAAAAAAAAGAAAGGGAGGTATATATATATATATATATATATATGGGGGAAAGGAAGAAAAAAAAAAGAAAAAGAGAATCTTTTCTTCTTGATATTTTTAAATTTCTTTTTTAATTATGAGAGTTGAAGTCTAGTAAGGTGAATTCCACTTGCTTTTTTTTTTTTCTTTTTTTCTTGATTAAAGGAAGAAATTACGATAAAAGGCAAACACAAACACAAACACAAACACACAGAGATAAGATAAGATTAAAGAGAGATAAAGAAATAGATAAAAGGAAGTGGGATATGATTAATAAAAGCTCAAACGTGGTACCCGGAACGCAATTGTGTTACCGCGCATTGTATGCTACTATTGTTGGCGAACAGCCACTTGATTGTCTTCCCGGCACAAGTGTGAAGATGAGTGAAAATGGCCCGGTGCTCGTCGATCATGTAATGCGGGTTGCTAGACCGTATATACCTAATGAATCCCGGCGGGGATATAATAATAATAATATTAATACTATTAATAATAATAATAATACTATGATGACTGGAGAGTCCCCGGCGGCGGCGGAGGAAATGCGGAATGCGTTGATAGATTTACGCCGGCAAAACCGTCAATACCATCGGGATCTCGAGACGTGTACACAACAGTTGGAAATGCGAAAACAGGAAGTGCAGGCACTGCAGAATAAACTCCGCGTTGTACACATGCAAGCACGTAAACTCGGATACGATTTCCACGACCTTGCTGATAAAGGAAATACTAATAATAATAATAATAGTAGTAGTGGTGGTAGTAATACTAATACTATTAGGAATGGGTATAGTAATAATAATAATAGTAGCAATGGAAGTAGAAATGGAGAACATACACGTCCTCCATTACCTCCACTTCGTCTGGATATTAATAAACACGGCCCACTTGCATCTCCACCTCCTCATACTATCACTACTACAACTACTACTACTACTACGAATAATAATAATAATAGAAATAGTAGTAATAGTAATAGTAATAGTAATGCTAGCACGAGTACGAGTACGACTACGACTACTAGTAGTAATAGTCATCCTAGTAGTAATAGTACTACTAGTGGTGGACCAGTGACTCTCCAAACAACACTAACAACAACACCGCCGCTACCGCCGATATTTCAACAAGACTCTACTCAAGATATAAACTCTCTCACAACGGATAGAGGTGGAACTATGAATAGTCTCTCTGCATCCGATACCGTAGCTGCAGCGACAAGAGAAGAAACACCCCAAGTTGTAGAAAATGATACTATGAAAAAAGAAATGGAGGTATTGGAGTCTAATAATAGTAGTAGTATTATTCATTCTACATCTATGAATCGCAAAAATGGAATCTCTCTTCCTGTTTTACCACAACATCTTCTTAGTTCAAATCCTGGGGCAATGCTCTTTTGTCATCATTGCTGTCTCTTTCTAGCGCCTCATCCTGTTAACATTTCTAATCATCTACAGAGTGAGGGACATCATTGTAATGTAAAAACCCCACTTACTTCTGGGTTAACATACACACAGTTTGGAAAATTAGTGCAACGGATGCCTAGTTTTATTGAAGCCGTTACGGTGGTTTCAGAGGAACAGAGATTAAGAGAAACGGCTGCGGGGAATCATTTTTTCGATAGTGGTCTTGACATTGTACACTCCATCTGTTCACTCTGTCAAGAGATTGTGACGACGCAAAGTTATAAAGTGCATGAGTCGTTGGCGTCACACCGTCGAAGAGCAATGAAAACGAAAGAGGATGCTTCTGCTGTTTAATCAATATATATATATATATATATATATATATATATATATAT